GGGGGGGGGGGGGGGGGGGTTACACCCACCCCGCCGGTTGGTGCCGGCAACAACCTCAACCTCGGAGCGGGCTGCCGCACGACGGTCGAAAGCTGCAATGAACACCGTATGCTGCATGGATAGGAGGCGGAGAGATGGCACCCGGTGTAGACCGACTTTCAACGGTCGGTTCGCTCCACAACCAACTGGGTGCCGAAAGAGCCCGATATACGTCTACGGAAAGCCCTCGACGAGAAGTTTCCAAAACCACCATTTTCGGTGTTGGCCCAAGCTTGGCTGTGTAGCAATCGCGCTGTGAAAAAGTTGGTCTGGGGGTGTGTTTGTGATCTCTACGCCTCTTACGATAATACCGTATACTGCTGTACAGGCAGCGTAGTAGTAAATAGGCGGGGCTTTCCATGTGAAAATGTATTGTTCGTGCATAGATACGTCCCAACTTGTCACGAAGCAGGGAGTTCCGACGATTCGATGCTCCTTCAACGGCGGGCTTTCTTTTTCTTTCGTCATCGTATACGTATATATTATCGTATATATGACAAACCGTCGGTGGTGGCGTACGACATCGTCCGAAGTCCCGAATACTCACTCACTCCACAGCCTAAAGAGTGGCGGTGCCGAAAACGGCAGCGTTGGGACCGCCGTCTCGTCGAGAGCGTTACCAACAAAAATTGTTTGATATTAATTGCTCTTGAATGCGGAGAAATCGACCGCTGAAAATCGGGCTTCTGTAAGAATGCACCACCACATCCCGTTCGACTGCTGTGGGTATATCTCGAATGGGTAGTCTTTCTGTGTGTGTCTTCATTATTCCTTAATGCACCAACAAGCCACAAGCTGTTTGGAGCAGCATGCATAGATGGGGTGTGATACATACCTCAACGTCATCTACGTTTGTTTATCGTGTTCTCCGCCATCATACCATCTTGTCTGGACGTCGTTCTTGTACACAACCAACCCCGTACGTACATACATGCGGCAATGCGTACTGCTCTCTCTATAGATGCATACGTTATCGACACGAGACGAGTTGTTAATCCAGCAATTAACTGCTGTAGGCCAAGCTTGCTTGGCGATTGATTTCGTTTCTCCCGCCGGCACCGTTGGCCGTTCATCATCATCCACACTAATAATCTGTATCTGCTGTCCGACTTTCAGTAGCAGTAGAGAGTGCCTCCTCGAGGATAATTGTTGTTCAACTTCAAGCGACAGGTGACATACATACGGCAAGACAAATTTTCGTCCATATGGATCACTCTGGATGGATAATGCAACCACACAGCACAGCACATCGTCAAAGGCGGTGAGGCTGACAAAAAAAAGTTGACCCGTCTTGAGGTTTAGGTAGATGTCCGAGGCAGGCGTGAAAAATCAGAGTTTCAGTTGTGCATAGATGGAACAGAGCAGCAGCGTTTTATCGTTCTGGAAATACTGCATCATCCATTCGGTTGGTTGTTACAGGCTGTTGTTGGTGTGGTTGATGACTGTTGGGAATGAGATGCTTGCGTGCCTACTGCTATAGTGTAGTCGTCATCACTGATGGTTGATCTTGGGTAAGTGATTAAAAAAGCTTCTCTTCGAAAACACACCAGAACACACGAAGAAAATGAGATGGGGGAGGGCAACAAGCAATGGGCAGGTTTTTTGAAGAAGTTGCTGCGGCGGTGTACTTATATCGCCGCACCAGCCTTTCTTGGCGTGTGCGTCAACGGGTCAACGGCTCGCGGACAAACGGCCCGAAAGTAACCCTAAGCATCGAAGGCAAGCAAGCCTAGATGATCACCCGGAAGCTGTTTGTAGCAAGACAAGTCTCACTGCGACATCTGATCCATATCTATCCCGTGTCCTGCTCCAAAAACGCGGGTAGACTTTTCTCGTGGGAATCACGGGCCAACCCTTGTAAGCTGCAAAAAAAAATCACAAACCGTCAATTTGCGTGCATGCTGCATGCGCTTCACACTGGGACAATTGACAACTGAAAGGGCACCGGATGAAGTTCGACCCTGGCACCCTACAGCAGGCGTCAACGCACGCCTGCCTGCCTGCACGGGGCAGCTGCGCCGTGCACAAAGAGAAAATCTTATTCGAACAACCATATGAGATCACGCGCGATTTCCAGATTAGACTCGGATTGCGTTGTTGTTGAACTCGGACTGCTGTTGCTTTTTTACAGACGCGCCGCCTCCAATGCATCCCTTTATCCCTTGCCCGCACACCCGCCTTCCCGTGTTCGGCGGAGAGGTGGAGAACAACAACGGGCAAGTACCCAACTCGGCCACCACAATTCCACCGTTCACCCGCGACAGAGCGTAGTAATGTAACGCTCACCGTCCAGCAGAATGAAAGAGAGAACAGGAATGGGTGGTCTCCCTCCCTCTGCATCATGATTACGGGAATTCTGACCTCACCTATTTCCTGTTTGTTCCGATCAACCAAACTGAGTAGGTGAAGAAAAAAACAAAGTACGGCCGGCCTTGACGCGAATTTTCACACACAGCCGTAGAGAGGGTAGCAACACCAGCGCCCACGGCTCTTTCGATGCCCTTTGCCACAGAAGCACGCGTGTGCATGTGCGCAAGAGACGCACGCCACTTGACGTTAAGCTATTATTGTATGCACAATGCGAAGCGCTCGATATCATGACACCGCACCAAAAACAAACACACCAAACCGCAGGAGGAGGACCTACAGAACACCGGAGCGACCACACAACCCACCTCGTCGTTAAACTTGAGCACGCGACGAACCCGGCCCCTGCCGCGGTTGTACTTGACCACATTCAAGCCGGACCCCCACGCCACCATCGTCATGAAGCGGCGCAGCGCGATCTCCTCTGCAGAGTACTCCCCGTATCTTCTTGTGTCATCAAGTTCTGATGTGGTCAATTTATCGTGGGCCGAAGCAGGACGTTTGGCTGCTGGCGAATCCTCATCATCGTCACAATCATCCACGATTCCGACCTTTACTGCTGCTGACTTGGAGGGGTAGACCGGTAGCTTCCTCTCCTGCCGCCGCCCCTCCTGCCGAAGACGCAGCTCCTGCGCCCGCTGATGCTCGAAGTACAGCCCGTCTAAGTGAGAGGTATCGAGTACGTCTTGGCTGCTGTGGAACCTTGCGCTCTGCGGCCGAACAAGCCGGTTATTTCTCCTTGGCGACAGCTCCCGCTTCTGCTCTTCTTCTTGCCCACGACTGCTGCTGTTGACCGAGCTCGACGACCTCTTGAAGCCTACGGGAACAGACCTCCTCTTGGCAGGGCTGGCAGCGTGTAGTGGTGGTGGTCGTGGAGGAAGCATGGTGTTTCGAGCAGCAGGGTCGACAGAGGGGGAGAGCGGTGGAACGGGAAGTAAGTGCTGTGATGATGTCGTGTGAGGTAGGTCGTATGCATGGTAGGGAAAATGACTCTTAAATTCTACAGTGTATCTATCACATGGTTGCAAGGAATGAGACATTCAATGGGAAAGCTGTGCCGAAAGATCTAAATATTCAACGGGTCTGATCATTTGCTCCAAGGAACATTTTCGGGAGAAAACACCCCGCCTGGAAGAAACGGAGTCAGCGCGCATGCACAACAAAGAAAGCGTGTACCACACTCCACGTGTTGTCTGATCAGTCGTCTCTGTCTGGTACCTGCGAGGTCTGTCTGTAGCCCAGAGAGATGTGGACAGGGATAATCCGGCCTGTGGAATCGACTCTGCCACTATGACAGAACGAACACTGGTGGTGTCTTCTGTCGGGGTAAAAAGTACGAAGAAGAACTGTGAACTGCTGTGGTACAGGCACATGCCACGTCTTCTTGTCATATATTCTTCACTTGTTCACTATATGAAACTACTCCGTTATAGTAGAGTACAAGTACAATTGTTCTTTCAGCGGTAAGCGGGCACGTCCGAACGCCGCAACTGCCATTCGTTGTCGTCGTACATACCATATGTAGTTCTTCCGGAGCTACGGATGAGTATGCGTAAGTGAGATGCACACTCTACTGTTCAGCATCTCCCTCTCTCATCCCTGATCAAGGTGGGGACACGAAAAAAGCGGGGAAGTACAGAGAGTAAGTAGGTTCGATCTACATGCATGCATGCATACACATACATACATACATACGCTGAGAGATCCCGACAACAACATGGTGAAATATCTGTTGTGATGGTTTCGAACTCTCTCTCGTGGCAGGATGAGTAGGCATGTATACGCAGACAAACTGCGTGCGTGTGTGTACACTGATGATGATAGACTTGAGTTTCGATAAACACATCATCATGGTTCGTGCGTGTGTGGGGAGGGGGGGCGGATTCAAAAAGTCGATCCGAAACGCACCCAGGAATTAATTATTAGTCTGTCTGTGTGTCGTCGCAAGTAAAGGTTACAATATTATTGTTGTTGTCCAGATTTTCGTGTTTTAACCATATAATAGTCTACAGTATATTCATACAAGTACAACCCTGCCTTTCTTTGTAAACTCGGCTACAAGACTAGTGTATACGTGGTTTTAAGATTAGGTATACCACGGCGACCCTTCCGCGCACTAATAGTAATATTTGGTAAAAGTCTACATGCGCTACTATTACTACATATCCTTTGTACATGTAGTCTACATGCAAACATTTTGATGGTGCACACTAGAAAGAAAAACGTGCGTGCCTGCTTGAAGTATTGTATTTGGCAGCTCACCCTCGGCACTAAACAAATGGGATTGTCATCTTCTGTCTTGCTGCCGCGATGACACCCACCCACACAAAGTCCCCGGTTACGGCAGCAGCAGTAACAGCTCGTAGAAATGTTTTGATATGCGTTGTCTCTGCCTCTAAAATAAGGCGCTCCAGTACTCCGGGCGTGCGAGGTCAGTCATCTTACTTACCGCAGCATCGCAAACGAAAGAAAGCAAACAAGCCGTCCACTGTCGATTGATTATCGCAAGCCGGAACAGGGGTACACGAAGCCAGCGCGGTTAGTACTCACCCCTTTCGAACTCCGAAACAAACAAGAGAGGGAGGTCTACCGTGTACAGCAGAAAGAAGGTGTAGTCTAGTAGACTTGTTTACGACAACATAGAAAGCCTACATAGTCTACACCAAGAAATTTCACCGCAACACTAAATGGAATCAGTGAGTACCGTGGAAACCGCAGTGTTCAACAACAGCACAACGGTCCTACCGAACCCCAAGGGTACTCCGGGCGCACAACCACACAAAGGGTTCAAAAACACAAGCAATAACCTCATCTTGTGTCACTCATGATGACAGCTACATAGTCGCGCAGCGGCAAAGAGAGGCCTCCTCCCCGCAGGCTTTCGGAAACGTCGCCACAATAATAAGAGGGTTTCACACCAAGCTGGCCGCACCATCATCATCATCGCAGCTGTCGTTCACCACCAAACCTGGTGCATCTACTGCTGCTGGCTCAACACTCCGACGGTAAAAGCCGGCCATTGTCGCCAACAGCGCGTAGACCCGTTGTAGTCGTATTCGCCATGTTCGATCTTCAACGCCAGCAGCAATGCCATTGTCGTGGTTGTCTGAAGTGCCACCCCCCCTAATCTCTCGGCCTTCGGTGATGTATTCGACGGGGTCTCTGTTCTCGCTGCTCCCACGACTGCCCCCGCCTATTCGCAACGGTCCTCGACCGTCACCCTTCGCACCGTCGCCTGTACCGCAAGCTATTCGCCCGATTTTTCTCCCACCGCTAGTGCTACTATTTCTATTAGGAGATGATACAACGACATCGATGGCGGTGGGGGGCGTCGCCAACGGTGATGGTAAAGGCGAAGATGCGGCCCTGCCGCCTCGTTCTGTCGACGGAGAACTGGCGGCGCAGGCAAGACCCTGACGTTTGGCGCTTGCGCCGCCGCCGCCACCACTACCAACACTACCAACACCGCCGCCGGTACTTGCACGGCCGCCACCTTTGCACCCGCCGCTACCACCACCTACCGCGGTGTCGGCGCTACAATCGGTACCGCCCAGCCCACCTCGACTTCTCGTCGAACTTCGCACCGAACGGACGGGCGATACGGAGGAAGGAGGGGACACAGAACCACACGAAGAGGAAGAACCCGATGATGGAGAATCACTGCGAACCATGATTACCCGGCTGCTTCTCACTTTGCGCGACAACGCTGCCGAACGCAGAGTTGCCTTGCCGCCACCCATCCCTGCCGCGGGAGAGGTTCGATCCGATGCTACCATTGCTGGCCGGAGGTTTTTGGCATTCGTATCGGTCCGCGAGTTCGGGTGTGCGTGGCGACAGTGAGCAACCAAGGACGGGGTGTGGTTAGAAGAAGGCGAGAGGTACACGGGGGATGGACATGAACGCGTGCTTATGACGGACTGGAGCATTAAAATCCACGTGCTTTGAATCCTCGTTCCCTCCGGTACTTTCGACTACGTAGTACGTGTTGCCAATGGTCGGGTGGCTCTAGAAGGACAGGTACACCGAAGTCGCACCTTCCCCATGTCTCCTCAGAGTTTTTCCGTGGGCAAGAGAGATCAACTACGAGGTGGTGAGGTACCGGCCAGCGTGGTTGATTAAGAAGGCCGGGAGACGTCTCCAACAACGCTGCGGCGTTAGAGCCCATTCATGTGCCAGGGAAATCAGTTGCAGCGTATTTCTTGTAGTCGAGGGCGGGTGGGCGCGCGCAACTATGTCTATGCGATCCGGCGTGGTGCCCTGTGGTTTGGCTTGCCTATGAACTGTTTGATATCGAGAGAGGGTTGGTGTGGGAGTCGGCGACAACACGATCAACGCAGCAACGACAACATCGACGACAGAGCAGCAAGTGATCGCGTACCACCAACAGCGAAACAGCAAAAACGTACTTCGATGGCAACCAAACTTGTCTTTGCACCTAGTGGATTTCTTGAGGAAGAAAGTCGTCGGATTACGGCAACTTCTCCACCGGTCGCCCTCATGAACCGCATCACATCCCTGTTCTTGGTGGCCCACTCCATGTATCTGTCGTCGTTGCCAGAGTAGAGGGGTCGAGGGTCAACGTGCGTCGAAAGGCGGTGCTGCTGATCATCACCCACACGAGAACGATACGATGGGGCATTGAAAACGCACGAAGTCATACCCGCGAGGTATGTTGCTGAATTATTTAGACTATGTTCTGATGGTTCGAAGCAACAAACAGGTCGAGAGTTGGCCACGCCAGTCGAAGGTAGAGGCCGAGGGATTGCTTGTGCACGTCCGTTTGGAGCACGTTTCGTTCTTCTAGACTAGTGCTGTTGCAGAATGTTCGGCGATGGCATGACAAGAAACGACACAAACAGCACCGAATGACCGAGATGATACACGTCAGGATATACAACAACCAAGCTTGAAAAAAAACGAGAGGTGCTGGACTCACTCAGAGAGACTGATGGTTCCGTCGTGGGAACGATCGACTTCCTTGAACATGCAATTCACGAAGTCCTCCATGCTCTTGGCGCTCTTTTGGAAACGTCCAAAGTTGTCCCGATACATGAGGTGGAACACCTGAGGGGTTATCACACGTTGAACAAACGCACATTACGTTCAAGTGCTCCTATCTGGCATTCTCCAGAGGGCGTACGTTTTCCTTGTGTAATATAGACGTGTCTGGCATGACAGTTGGTACCATGAAACACGGAATTCGAATTGGAAGTAAAATTTTTGGGAGCAAGCGAAGACAACTATCACCAATAATTGTTGCTCGAAGTTGCATCGCTGAAGCTGCATGCCTATGCTAAACATCGTTGTTGTTGTTGTTGTTGTTGTTGTTGTTGTTGTTGTTGTTGTTGTTACCATTGATCATGATGATTCCTCCACGTCAGAAACAATTCTCGCGCCAATCCAGCACCTCTATTATGCCGCCCTTCAAGGCACAGCAATTGATTCCCATGGATGCAACACAAAGACGCAACACCACAATAAAGTGGGACGATAAGATCCATAGAGCCCCAACCTACCTTGCCCACCAGAGAAGGGCAAGGAAACGTCCAATGAAACGAAGGAAATAAGACCCCATGTACTCCGCCTACTCGGAAGCAGTGCGGCAAAACGGTACACGTACATAAACTTGCTTGTGGTGGAAATCGAGGTATGACTCTTCTAGGTAGCGTTTGATTTCATCCATCCTCCTCCTTTCTTCTGTTCATTTTTCGACACAACTTTTTCTTCGAACGTCGCTCGCCTGCACCAACCTACCCTTTGCTGTCTTGCCCTTCTGTCTATTTTCGACATGACTTGCGGTCCGCGGTGGACCTAACCTGCAGCATCGTTTCGCATGATCTGTCTACCCGCATCAAAAAATGGCCTACCTCATCCTGGGCCTTAGAGAAGAGCTTTCTTGTAAGCGGAGCCTCCCCGTGCTGAACAGCTTGCCACTTTTCTCTTATCCCTTTCCTCGTGGAGGCGCTAATGTTCACCTAGAAAGTCAGTGGTGGTGCACATGTTAGTCGGTTGTTGTCTCCATTTTGGAAGCTATTCCAATCTCTACTAGGTGCCTAACGTCCATCCGCTTCTCGTTGAGCGCTCTCTCGCAAGTTGGCGACGAACAGAATCAAGGTGCCAACCAACGATTTCCTATCGTATAGTACCCGAGGATCTTCATAGTGGTGGCGCCACCCCAATACCGTCTATAATGTGGTATGGCCCTCGTCTGTTCCGGGTCAAACCAGGAAATTGAACCATCACGTTTCCCACCAATGATGATACGATAAAATCCCCCATGCAGTGTGGGCGTTCTACGTGTTCCTTTGCCTCTCCAGTGAGGAGGCGGAATGAGTGCGTGGACTCGGAATAGTCCATGGCGTTCTTCACGATTCAACCAACACGAACGTGCTCGGGTGACCACACGAACGTGCCAAAACGCTAGACGAATGGGCTGGGTGGCATGTGGCTGTTTCCCTCAGAACAGGCGAAAATATACGTTGTACACGGTTGTTTCGGAGACTGCCTCTTCCACCTTCGAACACAAAGAAAAATGCGGCGAAACTTCTTGCCTGTTTCGGCGCCCCTTCACGAATGTACCCGTCGTACAGGGTCTGAGCCTTGGCCAACGTAGGAATAGACGACGCAAACTGGTCCGAGCTTTGCCAGAAGTAAAAGTTCTCTTCGGCGTACTCGTCCTAGCGATAAGCCCCCAAAAGCACACGAGAGCAAGCAAAAGGGGGGTGATTCGTCGGTTCGCAAGCATGTGTGGAGAGCAAAACGTAACTAAATAGGTATTGAACAGCAAAGCGCGAGGTAGATATGCATATGTACGTACAGAGAGAGTACAGACCACTCCCACGCCGAAACAGACTCCAGTAGTCCCACGATAGCCCCATGTTGTATTTCCTCCGATCTTTCCAGACCAGAAGAAACAAAAACAAACACCAACGCCTACTTGTACGGACCACAGCTTGACTTGCTCGACGTTTATCCTCACAATTGTCTGCATGTTCCTTTCGCGAGCGACAGTACATATAAAGTGCTGCCAAACAGTGGTCCTATCATGACCCCAAAAGAATCCTATCCCGTCCTAACCACCGGCAGTACCTTGAGGTGCCGCAAAAACGCCTCTTTTCCAGCAGGAAGCCGGAGCACGAATTCCAACGTAAGGTGTGTCCTCAGGGTGGCTTTCATCAGCCGCTGAAACTGATGGCAACGACACACACCAGAACGACATCGAAGAGAGTCTTCAAATCCGAATGAAATTTGTTTCCGTTTTTGCTATGGTTCCTGCTACTTTCTGCCTTTCGCTGTTGGTGCGTTTGTGTAAGGCCATTTCTCTTAAGAAGCAATCGCGCTGGGTACCTGATTGCCCGGATATTTGTTATCTGTCCGTGTTTTCGTTCATGGGTCTTGCATCGGGTTTTGTCGTGTTGCTTCATTTCATATCTCGCGGGTGTCTGTGTGTGTGTGTTGTCCATGGCGGCGGAAGAATTAAGCCTTGTCGACTAAAACAGAACGGACAAGGACTCTATATTTCTCCCACGTAAGGTGTGTGTGTATTTCATTGATGTATTGCCTGGAGGATAGTTTCTTGTCATGAGTTTGTCTTCGGCAAGAAATGGAAGTACTGAACAGCGATCGGTAAGGTTTCGTCAACACCGCCATGGACAACAACTAGAGCTAGAAAAACGCACGTAGCACGTGAGGCAAAAATTGCTGCACACGAACCGTTTCCACATTTGAGGTTGAGGGGCAGAGTTGTGCTGCGCAATGAAGCTGAAGACACCGAAAGAAACAGAGATCCTCCTGTTCTAAACATTACCTCTTTTCTGTCGATTTCTCCATCCCCGTCTTCGTCGAAAATGGTGTACGCGACGCGAACCACGCCGTCAAACGTCAAGGGCCGCCTTCTGCTCAGGAGAAACAATGCCACGGCGAGCTCTCGTATTCTCTCCGGATCCACCTCCTCGGCGGGCTCCTGTCGTTATCGTTGTCGGTGTTGTTCTTTGTAGTTGAGCTTTTCGTGTTGCCGTTGGACCTAGAGAAAACTATCTATGTATTATGGATCCATTTCCTTCTGGCCTTATATCGAACCCTGTTGCAGCAACCCATGCATGTTCAAGACCTCGTGTCTTTCTTCCCCTTGGGGATACGATGTGCCTCAAGACATTCTAATTGGTGTCGGTCTCGACTTGCGTCTGTTCCTTCCTGCTGCTGGCCACCCATGCCCCTTACCGTAAAAGTGCGAGCGATGGCACATCCGACACAATGCTCGATTGCTCCACGACCAAGAGAGTGCGCAAGCCGGCCGCCAATGCATGCAACGAAGGCGTTTCTATGATATATCTCGAACAACACCCTTGTCAGCTTTTCGAAGCCTCTTGGTTGTGCAGCAATCGAAGCATGAAGTCGGTCTATTTGTAGCGGTTGTGCGTGTTTGTCAGCATCACTTCATCTTGTTCCAACCCTTCGGGGTCCCCTTACCATCCAGAAAATGGGAGGCACGTCTCATGGGAAACGACCCGTTTTGGCCACTCTGTGCTTGTTTTTTTTCCGACAGGTTGGTTACGGGTTTCTCAACTTTCCTCAAGCCCCCTCCACCGCCGAGGTCGTGTGGTACATCTTCATGCCGTGTATGGTACATAGCGTACGCCGCCATAACACATGTTGAACACTAATACTTGGAAGTATATCGATTCCCTCGGTCACCGTTCGATTTGTCGCTCACCAAGCCTCGAACCGCCATGTAGTTGTCAAGGTCTCTTCCGTCAAGGTCCGGGTGCGCTTCGAACACCGCGGTCAGCAGCGCTTCTCGGGCGTTAGCGGGGGAACTCGTCCCCCCGGCAGCTTCCGAGGCAACCATCATCCTCTTGCAGCGCCGTCGTACCTCACAGATTTCTTCCTCGGTCACCTCATCCTCCAGTGCTGCCGCGGAAAGCGACCGCAGCTTTCTGGAATGGAGTCCGAAGGGCGTGAGAAGGGGGGTGCTATTGTAACGACGAGCAATAGTGTCGTGGTCCACATGAGCTAACACGCCCGTTCGTTTGGAGACATTTGTCACCGGTGTGGTTGTCATCAGGTGTGGTATGCTCGTCGACCCTATTGCTTGATCTTAGAGTATTCCCGCGCTCATGTTGAACCGGCAAAAACATCATAACCGGTACACTGGTCGGGATGGAATATATTGTGGGGGTGTTAGATTGTGTGGAATACGGTAATAGTTCACGAACCGGGGGGTCAAATATATCTAGGGCGGGAGTTTGTAGTTGTGTGTGAAGATCGTCTGTGCTGATTGGGGAAGTTGACTATGAAGGGTACGGGTGGTCGGGAATGGAGCTTTTTGGAGAGCGGCGACTCTGAGTATCGTATATCCGCATGTGTCTCGGTTGACTCGTCCTGGCCGCGAGCGAACAGTGACGAAGCATATCACCCCACCCTACGGATCTTTGACAGCAATTCTCCTCCTTGATACTCCTTGCTCCCATCAAAAACATAGTAGAGAGAAGCACTCTGTGTATTTTAGCGCGTGTGCAAAGCTCACGGCGGCCCCGCAGCTGGTACCATGAAAGTGCAAACATCGTCAGCACATTCCCGACACCACCACGCTGCTTCCCTCTTGGCATCCACCTATCACGAATCAATCACATACATGGCCAAACTCGACGGGTACCTCTTGCTGGAAACCTGGTATTCACAACAAGACAGGGGGTTCCTTTGATCCTGTGAGCGTCGGAAGGGTACCACTGCTAGTTGAAAGCTAGGTAGTGCATATGTCTATAGCTAGGTAGTGACTGTCTTCTTATGGGGGGCCCACCTCGGCTGCTGGGCGACGCCGAGCGATTCCGTGCTAGTACCCCTGCCCACGTTTGCGGCGACGGCCTTGTTGGCAAGGCCAACTCTCCCAATGAGGGTGGAGAATCGCCCGGAGGTTTCTTGCACACCGTCCCCGACATGTGTGACGATCACGCTTCCCTGTCGGTCAGTATCTTTGCTTCGCATTGGTGACCTCGACCTCGGAACAGCAGCAGCAGGGCCGTCATTTTTGGCTGTCGTTAGCCTGGACATAATCTTCGAGATCGTCGCCCCCGATCCCCACCCGCCCCCTCTTCGACTCCCCCCTCCTTCTTCTCCTCCCGCTGGTGCTCCCTTGCGCAGCATCACGGGCTCCGCGCAGTCTCTCGCGGCCCTGAAACGTTTATGTAGTCGTTCTCTCAGAGGTGCTGTGCATTTCAGTTGGAAGGTGGCACTGCCTCTGCCTCTAGTGCTGTTGTTGCTGCTGCCTACGGCTGTTGCGATAAATGGTCACTACTTTGGGAACGTGGAGACCCCCTTTGAAAACGGTACAATTTCCCCCAAGTGTTGTTGTTGTTGTTATTGTCTTCACATTCAAAAACCGTTCCGATCTCTCTACCCAGAACCTTCATCTGTCCGTACTGACATATCAAGAACTATTCCATCCCTCCTTTCAGTTGGCATCAACGAAGAGTCTTTTGGTGGAGGAGAACCCGGATTCAAATCCGCCACCCGTGCTGTATATTCCCAAGAACTGGAAAAATAAAGTTAAGGTGGGGGGCCAAGAACACATTTAGCTCTATTTACAGGTTGTGTCCCGGGTTGCACGGGAAACTCAGCTTCTGTCGTAAATAGTTTCAATAGTACATATACCAAACTTTCGTCTGGTTGCCCCTAAAAAAGCCTTCTTGCTTAGCAACCAAGAAGACTCAAGGGGGGGGGGGAGGGGGAGATCCCCTTCGTAAGGGGGCAATCTCTCTCACGACTGCAGATACCGAGATTTATGTTCAGTCAAAACGAGGCAACCTACCCATACGTGACGTTTGGACTAGCCCGTCGGTATGTACACAACGTGCTGAAAACAAGTTGCGACAACAAAAAAATACTGCAGTACCCAGCGATCAAACCTGGTATGGTCAACAGGTACTGGTGTATACAGGCGATACCAGGACACAGACGAGTCACCTACGAAAAAATTTTTTACCATGGAAAGGACCGTTTGTCGTTTACTCTCAACTTTCATTGGTTGTCGATCATGTAGACGAAGCGACGATGTAGGAAAATATCCGTATACCTCGCCCATTTGAGCGGTATCATGCACGGGTAAAAGCCACCAGCACCACATTCGGGTGTTACTCTGTAGACCCTTGTCCTACAGTGCAGGCAGCTCAATCCAACGTCCAGCAATGGCACGTACTTGGCGGCCAGTCGGGTCCACTGCTTTTGTTGATGTTTTCTACATAGATAGGCTGATGCGGACTGCACTAGAGGCTTGGTTGGCTGCGCGCACACTCGCAGCAGCATCAAAGCCCTTGCTCAGATTGCAGTTCGTAAAGCACAGAAAAGAAAGTGAAGCTTGTCCCTGAACAAGACATGGATGGAGGGACGACATGGTAGCATACAATCATAAGGCTAACACCGCTGTACTTCCTGCTGGTATGGCTGAATGGATATGAGCGTGTAGACAGCAGCGGGAAAAGTCGTGTCATATTGCAATCGCCCGTACTTGTACACGGAGTGTGCGGCTTCGCATGTACCATGTCGTATGGCGTAAAAAGTCGAAGGGTCGCAGGCCAACCAGATTTGTGAACTCCGTGTACGCAAGCATACGTACAAGAAATCTTCGGGCGAGTACTGTAGTGTGCATTCGCCACAACAGAATAAAACGCCAACCTGTGTGGCCATCAGTGTCGCCCCTACTATACGGTTGCGGCCTCTTGTACTCTGATCCCGATCACGCATGCAGGCCGTCGGGTAAGAAAACTGGCTGAAGCTTCAAGTCTAGTTTCCGAACCCCGACATATAATTGGGTATTTGCTCGTTCGCTCGTCGCAGGCCAACCAGATTTGTGAATTCCGTGTACGTAAGCGTACGTACAAGAACTCTTCGAGCGAGCAGTGCATGTTGGCACAAAAAAAAAAAACACCAACCTGTGTGATGGCCATCCACAGTGTCGCCCCTGCTATACGGCTGCAGCAGTGCTAAAAGAAGTCCGGGCGTCCTGTACTCAGATCCCGATCATAGATGCAGGCCGTTGGATATGAACACTGGCTGAAGCTTCAAGTCTAGTGTCCGAACCCCGAAAACTTTGTGTTTGCTCGTTCGCTCGCTTGCTCTTTACACCGTTACTCTCGGTTCCGAACTTGACAGTCCCGCATTGCATTTTCCCCCGCAGGAAACAGGGTATCCATACAGCAGTTGCACATATTGTAGTTGTTTGTGGTTGAAACATTGGCTCTCTTGCTGTTGGAATAGTTTGTCAATGCAAGAACGGCTTGGTTAGTTTGGCAGGACGTTTTGCGGCCCGCGTGCTCCGAGACTTGTATTTATTCGACGTACTGAAACGCACGCCGCCAAACCGACGACCTCTCCCATCTCTCCCACAGTCTACTAGTGTACTGCTGTGGCCAGGTTTTCCATCGGCGACCCGGTTAGTGCATAGCCTCTGCGCGTACAGTAGTCGAAATTGTAAAACACCAACAAGATCATAAGTTATTAACGCGCGTGCAAATTACTGCTGTATGTAGCCAAAGGCAGACACTCTGCCGCATGCGCATGCGGCGCTTCGCGATGCGGCGCGATAGTGAACGGTTCGACGGAGGTTATTGCGGCGAAATATTTTTTTGCTGGAACGGTGGAAAGGTTAGCGGAAGACGAAAGACGAAGAGAGAATGGCGAGAGAGTGTAGAGACGGATACAAAGACAGATAAAGACAGACGGAGAGGGTAGAGAGAGAAATACACACGAAAGCTGAGCAACGAAAGGTCTCCTTTTGGTGTGCAAGTGTGGGGGACGTGGTCTTCGCAAACCTCTTCGTCCACCTTCTTCGCGTCACAAGCTCTTCCTCGGTACTCAATGAGATCAATGAGATAGCGAGCACGCGTATCCTGTGGCAAAGGTGCCTTGCTTCTCTTTTCTGGCTGTTCTGACTGGTGCTCGTGGTAGACACACTGGCCGAATATTTCCAGCATGTCGCGGATCTCCTTCCTCGTTGGCTTCGACCGCATCGGACAGTCATCGCCCGCGGACATCGCTGCCGCTGTGGAGACCGACCATAATGCAGAGGTGCACAGCAGACGGGCGTTGCGCAGAAAGGGCGAGGAGGACCTGGGGCAATTCTGGGAGGAGACCAGAGTCGGCCTTGTAAATCGAATGAGGTGGGAGGTGCTGGTGATGGCATGCGTGTTGCGCGCGTTCTTCGTTTTGTACAGTAGTCTACATACTAGAGATCCACAATCGAAGAGAGATCTCGCCTATCTACAGTAGAAAGAACAGATTACACGCTTACTCTCATCCCATTCTGGGAGGAGATCACCGGAGAAGTCAACATTCAGCGTGCCCGCAAAATGGGTTAATTGCTGCGTCGCGATTATGCATCACTGACTCATGTATCAGGTGGGCCCTTGTTACGAAGGTACGCTGCTTGCGGCACCTCGTTTACTCCGAAAATGACCGGAATTCTCGATATATCCCTCGTCGTTCACTGAGAGGAATATTAGTCTGTGTTGTGCCTACATTCAACTGCGGCTCACAGCAGGAAAACCAGTCGAATCTGTGAAAGTCCACCGAAGATGCGGAATGTTCATTTTTGCTACAGAAGGAATGGAAGGGATAGCAGAAGTGTGAAGGCATTGACCTCATAGGTAGCATACAAGCACCATGGCACGTTGGCAAAAATTGTCACGTGGGCTGGATGTAGTTGTGTGAGAAATCAACCCGGTCCCGCATGTACCTCCATGACGTTTACGCAGAGAGAAGACCAGGATAGAAGCCGTATCGAGCGCGGTGCTCGCAGCAAGCTCCGGGAAAAAGCTCGGCATCAACATGACGAACCAAATCAAGAAGAGAGTGCATGCTGCTAAAGTGCGAGCCGCCGACCAAACTACTTTTATAGTACACCCCAACGTGAGAGGAAGTCGTGGCTGCTGTTGTTGAACTCTGTCTATCTACTCCTAGAGTCTACGCAGTTTCGTTTGGAGAATTTGTTGCCGCCGAAACATTTTCTAGCGGACGGTTTTTGCGACAACGCTAAAGCTGAAGTGTATCGCACCGTTTATTAGCCATGGTTCGTTTGGGGTGTAAACAAGCCTGTACGACCGACGCGAAACTTACTTCAACCGGTGCAATCCGTATCTTGGTGAACGCAAACGCGGCAAACTCAGGACCCTCGCAAGCTGTACTGGGATTTGTTCGTGGGAGCGATGATCTTGTACAGCATCGTGGTCATTCCGTGGCGGATCTCCTTCAAGCAGGACGCAAGCGGGGCAATGCTCATCTTCGACTATCTAGTCGATGCCATTTTCGGCATCGACATTATTCTGTGCTTCAACTCCGCCTATTTCGAGGAGGTACATTGGTTTGGGGTCATTGCTTCAGCAACAACGAAAGTTTACACAACTTATGGGATGTTTGTTTGGAAGCAAAAACTGGAGAGATGTTCGAAAATGTGTCGTCCAACGGTTGCACCCCAACGCTCTCATCTTGGGGTCATGCGGGCGTCAATCATCGTCCCGGGGGGGGGGGGGGGATGTTGCTCAGCTCATCACGTGCCTTCGTCAGTCGTCACTGCGGCCTAGTGATGCGGATCGACACGATACGGATGCCTGAACTACGTAGTTACTCTTGGCCTACAGTGTGCGCAACCCTCCGCCCGTTGGACTGCTGCATACGTAGAACACCTAAGCGAGATCACAATCTTTAGCTAGACATCCTGGCGGCTACAACAGGCGCCGGTCGTGGAGTGATGTTCTTAATTCCACTAGCGCTTGAAACAGCAGAAAATCGTATCGTGCCATTACGTGATCAACTGGTCGCTTTCGTCATGCGCACAGCCGGGAATTCGTGTATGGTGTCCGCCGTCATTTTATTCCCCAGACACCAGCAATCCCTTATCCTTTTTCGTCGAACTTGGCATCACTCACGGACAACACTTCCGAAAGAGACGTTGTTGCGGCAGATATTTACCTTGGTTTGGCCATCCAACGGTTGCGAACCCCCTCTCGGTCATGAATGCATGATGTTCTGCATACGAGTACTATATTATTGTGAAACTCTTTGGTCTATTATTGTGTGCAGTACATGCGAGCGGACAAAAGCGAGCCATCGCCGGTGGCATAAGATGTATCACACACACAGGACCGAATTGTAAAGCTGGGTTTCTCCTCGGCAAAAAGGTTTGGACCAAACCATGCGCTTTCTGAACGCTCTCGACGAGAAGTATCCAACTCCATCGGTTTCGCCACCACCACTCTTTCTGGTGTGAAGCAACGAAGCTTTGAAAATCGGTCTAAGGGGTGTGATATCTTGTGTCACCTACGGTGGTAAAGAAGCCGAGGAGATGGTTCTGGTTTGCGCTTCTAGTGGCCAGCGCCACGCACCCCGGGCTATCTATACACATCCAAAACGAACAACGAACAGTTTCATCTCTTTTGCTCTAGTCTATGCCCTCGGTCCTACGAGAAACAGGAGAAAAGCAAAACGTTCAACCGTTGACCGATATTGAAACATTTCAGGACGTTTTGGTTTACAAGCGAGCGACCATTGCGAGGAAGTACGTGTCGACGTGGTTTGGGCCGGACGTCTTGGGTACCGTGCCTTTCGCATCGCTGATAGGGCTCTTCATCACCACCGTGGATAGCCTGCAAAGCGTCAACTTCTTACGGTAAGATGGCTTCGTCATGCCAACTACGTGGTAGCAGCGTTCGGTGTTTTCTTGGCGTTGTTTCTGATACGGACGTTGCTGGCCAAGGGTGTGCAGCTTTCTGATTTTACTTTTGTCGGTGCGTGTACGCCCGTTCTTGAGCGAAAGGGCAGATCAGTCGTTAGTAGGTCAAGTTCCAACGCATGATCTGAGTCACCTGTGTCTCCTGTTATCCTCGCGTCAAGATTGGACCTGATCGGCCCGATGTAAGCGACGGGTTCGGTAAGACAATACCTGCCGTTGTCTTCTGGTGCATCTGGCTGTGAATGGTGTAAGAATAGAAACTGAGTAGATGCATGACAGGGTTGCCTGTTCGCTGTCCTGAAATATATCAGCCACGTTAACCGACTGGCCAATGACGACACGTCATTCACCAATCAACGATCAGCGTAACTCTGAACGAGATGATCTTATCCAAAAACCATCATCAGTGTGACGAACACAGCGAGAGGACGGTGCTCAGGTTCCGTGATACCTTAGGTCGTGGTTGCTGGTAGAACTGTTGGTGTTGAACTGGTGTTGGTATTGGGGTTATCCTCATCAGCTATGTAGCTCGCCGAAAACACGCACACCGTGGTTGAAGCGAGCCAAACAAAAAACCTGGACACAACTAACCGCTTCAAGCCAACGGTGCTGCAAATGTCAGGCTGGTACGTGTGTTCCGGCTGCTGAAGCTGATGCGGATCCTGCGGCTCTCTAGAAAAATGGCGAAAGTCGACTTCTCCCGGCGGCTAAACCCCTCAATTGTGCGGCTCATCAAGCTGCTCGGAAAGATCGTGTTTGCTGGACACTTGCTTGGGTGCACGTGGTTCATGGTGGATGAGTGCGACGTCGACGGCGGTGACGACATGTGGCCGAAATGTGGAGGGGAAAGCCTCGGCTCAAAAGTGAGAGAACGAGACAAATTTTTATATCCCAGAGCGTCAGTTATTGACTGGGGAAAGGTGCTGCTGCTGTGGATAGGGGCGGAGCGGAGAGGGCAAGGACAACGCTCAAAGTATTATCTGTGTTCTTGATGAAACGATACGTAATTGGAAGCATCGTTCCCGTGGTATAAAGGCGAGGCTCTGACGGTCAAGTTCGTGGGGTTTATTCCGGCATAACACGATAAGAAAAGCGCCTGTTGGTGAGTGGGAAATATCATTGCCGGAGCCGTCTCGCGGGAGTAAATTGGAGGAGCGCGCCGTGGGGAAAAAACAATTAATACACGTGTCACCCCCGAAGTAGTTTCTCCGAAACTATGTCAAGAAATGAAGACATGTATGTATGCATAGATATGTATGCCGTTGTGACAACCCTTGGCGTGAAGAATTGTCACACACAAAGAAACACTGAAGTATAAAATATCGCGTTCTCTTCATAAAAGAGAGAGCGGTTGGCATGGATTGGCATACGATGTACACCGAGAAAATACGTGGGTGCGTGGCCCGATTTTGGATCCGAAATCGTCCAGTGTAACGCAAATATTGCTGCGAGCGCTGACGAACCACGTTCAAGAACCCAAGCAAGCGCGAACGAGAGCACACACCGATCGCAAGCACGGACAGCATCGCTGATTAAGCACCTCGCAAACCCCATGGGTATACACCCTCTTTCTGTCTGCGGTTGGAAGGTTGTGCCACGGATGCCTGTCGCTTATGCTCACACCCTCTGATTCGTTGTCAACGTGTACTCTCCCTTTCTCCCTCCCTCCGTCTCCCTCTCTCTCCCTCTCTCTCTCTCTCTCTCTCTCTCTCTCTCTCTCTCTCTCTCTCTCTCTCTCTCTCTCTCTCTCTCTCTCCCGCTCGCTCTTTGGTCCGATTGGGATACTTTAACGAGTCCAGAACCGGTCATTTTCTCAAACGGCCCTCAACACGAATCCGGAGGCATGTTGTTGTTTCCCGTACTCTCGGCCTCGGAAGCCTCTCAAAATTCCCCGTTGTCATGAGTCAGCCCAAACTCTCACCGTACCTCTTCTTATTTCGACGCGTGTTCATCTCCGCCGGCATGATTCTCCGCCGGCATGATACGGTCTACACCACTGGCGTTCTCCGCTCTTTGCCTTTGTGCGTGTGCTGGGAACGTCATCAAGTACCTGGCGAGCTTGTACTGGACGATCGCGACCCTGATGTCTGTGGGATACGGAGACATATCGGCCGACACCGACCAAGAGAGGATGTTCGCCCTCGTGACCATGGTAAGCCGCGCTCAAAGTACGTGCGTGCCACTTCTTTTCGTGATCAAGCCTGCTTTGTCCCTCTACATTTGTTAGCCTAGCAGAGTAACGCGTATGCACGCAACGCACGACGGCATGAAGCGTTCCTTACAACACACCTAACCGTTGATGGGTTATCCAACCTCTCTCGAATGATTCATATCTATGAGGGAGTCAATACCGAAGCAACACGTCATCGAACAGTTCTTTCAAGCAAAAATATCCTCAACTAAGCCAGTGGGTAGCCTTTTTTGGCACGGATCCTCTTCAGACTTGCTGGCTACGATAAAGATGTCGAATTTTAAGTGACAATCAGCATGAAGCAGGCGTTTCGCATCTGTCATTGCAACAGCGCAAACGCCGAACATCATATGCTGTACATGGCGTACTTCATTCATGCCGTACGTTTGCTGTCTCCGGACCTGTGACTCGTGTAACGCTGATGTATGGGATGCACCCGATCCCCTCTGCGGTGTTGACCTTTCGTGAGCGTGTAATAAGCTACTCGATTTCTCGCCGTTCTCGCACGAAATGTTTACGGTTGGCTTGAGACCGCCGAATCAACGTGGCCAGGCCGGCCACTATGAAAACCACCGGTAACGACACCAATTACAACACCAACCGTCAACACCCTCACGTCTTCTAGGTAATCGGATCTACGGCCTTCGGTTTCATCATCGCCATGGTTACCGTCATCGTGGAGACCATGGATCCACAGGTATAAGCTGCTGGCGCACTCAACAGCTTCACTGGCTTGCCACAACCATCCCATTGACGATGTTTCGCAACTTCAATCCGCTCACACGACTTCTAAAAACCGCTGATCCATGAGCTGTCGCGATGTTGTTGCCAAAGGGAACGGAGAAAGAAACTCTCGTGTTCTAATCTAATTTCTGAGGTTGCAGTGTGTGTCCAATGGCATCCATACGTCTGGGTCGCTTTCCCCAAACTTGAAACTGCAGTTGTTCTTTTCAAGCCCAAGCTGATTTTGCATTGATTATTAGACGGCGTGGTGCTCACGGACCGGTCAGGTTCATCCCGCAGTATCCCGAGATGAAAAAGCCCAAACTTGGTCCCAATGCTCGCACGGTTACTGGGGTCACCTACTCAGGCCACTGCCAAGAACGCCAAGATGGAGGAGGTGCGAGAGTACATGGGAGTCCGGAAGCTGCCGAAGGGGCTTCAGCTGAGAATGCGGAAGCACTTCGATCACGTCTACAGAAACACGAGCGTCTTCAGACAGGCAAGCAAGCCTCACCAGAATAACGAATGGCGAAAAAGCAACTCCAGCAGTAGCATCGTGTTGTTAGTGATGGAGATGGAAAAGACGATGAATTAAAACATAGACGTGATAACAACACTACCCTAGCTACTACATTCAACCAACGTCACATGACCACAAAACTGAGCATCCCGCTTTCCACTTCTTCCCGAAACTGTCGCTTGGATGTGACGGCACTCATCGCAAGCCAAAGAGTTGGAAGCTCTACCATGAACTACGAATGTAGTGCCGACCCTATATCCCCTTCCCCTCCCCCGCCCCCGCCCCCCCCACATCCACTCTTCCCCATATTTTCGTGCGGAGACCGTTCTTGTTTGGCAGACGCTTATGAGAATGAGATGTTCTGCTATCATGGGTTTTGCTGGAGTTGTACTTGCGTTCGAAGAAGTGTATCACACCAACAACCTCTCCCCCTCCAATAATACCCTTGATTGGCACCCACCCCACAAGTTCAGGTATGCACACTACCAATCCTTCTTTCAACATGTCCTTGATTGGTACCAATCCCGTGCCCCGCGCAGTCTGCTTCTTTTCTCCGGGTGAATTTAGGCCGACAGAAATCACGGCCTCTCACTTGTGGTTTGGATATCCCCCCCTTACCCTCCTCGTCCTGAATCACAAGGGAATTGTGGTATTGGGGCATGCCGAGCTTGAACCAACAAACATGTTCTTGAGGGTGATATACTAACATGTTCCAAACAATCGTCCGGCCAAAACTTTCTGCGAATGCTAATTCTTGGCAATGCACATGACCCCCTTTAGAACGTCAGCTAGAGAGAGATTCGCGGCCAACAGTCTCGCGAGATAGACGCCGTGGCAAAATGCTAAACTCCAGGAACCCCCCCGACCTCCACACAACCGTCGTACTCATGACAGACGCCAATCCTACGAGACCTGCCACACACAGTCCGGATGAAGCTTGTCTTCGATACCCACCAGCATCTCCTGCGAACCCTAATTTTCTTCGAGGATTTCCAAGCCTCCGTCATCACCGAGATGGTCTACCGCCTCAAGCCGATGCAGCTCAAGCGCAAGGTAAGAAAGGTACACCGGTTGTGGAGACAACCTTTGGGGCGTTGTAGATGTCCCTGATATCGGTTTTTCGCTCTCTCCTGGATGTTGCTCGAGCCTCAGGAAAGCCACGATTAAACAATCCCCGTTCATGTTATGGTACACCTAGAAACATTGAGAGGGTGTTGGAAAGGCAAGCCTACACGTTCACCTTCACCATGGCATCACGTCGCGGATATGCAGGTCCGAGAAATCGACCCCATGTCTAATGAGTTACAGAGAAAAATAATGTATGATGCCCACGAGCGCTCCGAGATACAGATAGGCCGGCTGCATGACCTTCTATTGTTGCCATGAAAGGGGAATCCCAACAAATGTTTTCACGCGTATATTGATGGACGGGGCAAGCTTGTTCTCGAGCGGACCATCCTGCCCCATTTCTTGAGGCAGCACGCTTTCTCCCATCCCACTCTCTCTCTCTCTCTCTCTCTCTCTCTCTCTCTCTCTCTCTCTCTCTCTCTCTCTCTCTGTCCCCGCTCATCTACCTTCGGCCTCTCGCTCCCTCTTTCTTTTGCTTTCCTGGTGACCTCGAAAGAAAGACATGTTCGACATTTGACGCGTCAAAGGAAGTAGACGCTTTGCACCATGGGATGATCAGTTGAAGAATTACCTCGGGGGCTGCCCTGTAGATTTTCCCTCTCACGCCAATCTCACACCAACAAGTCTTCTACCACCTCCACTTGTGTACAGGAGTACGTCGGGAAAGCCGGTGATGTTTTGGACAACGTGTTTTTCGTGGTGACAGGCAGGATCGAGGCGAGGGTGACCAAGCCAGGAAAGCAGGTAACGCGACGTGCACACTGGCGCTTGTTAGTCTGCAGCCTTCTCAACTGCCACGTATGTTTGTGTGTGTCCTACAGTGGAATCGCAGAAAGACGTTCCTCTCCGACGCTTCCCCCAAGGAGGGCGATGACTTGAGTGCGCTGGTTTGTGAGCAAGTGTCTCGCCTCTCTTCTTGCCCTGTCCCCGGGGGCAACGTTTGCTAGCCTTAGGAAACTCGCGACTCGGGTATGGTGTCACTGCAAGTGTTGTTACAGTAGCACCACCAATGAGGGGGGATGTCGACCCGTAAGCGATCTATCCTGAGGGGTTCAGGGTGGGAATCCCGCAGACAAGCGGCGACATGGCACTGCTGTCTGTGGTGTCGATATCTCGGCATTTTGGAAATCGATGCTGACCTCTACCTCTACCTGGCACATTTGTCATCGTCTGTGCTGGTTTAAAACGCAAGGGCTAGAGGGCGTACCAGAAAAAACGCATGTGAGGCACTGAAATGCGGAGCTTTTCTCTCAATTCTGTCCGAGACCCACCGCACATGCCACGAGGGTGTTCTTTCATGTTCACTGCACCACTTTCAAGGAAACCCCTTTGTCACGACTTGAGAACTAGTGTTCGAACGTCTTGGGGAAACCAGTTCGCGAATAACTACACGTAGTACTAATAACGGAACGTTCGTTGCAAGCTGTCTTTCTTGCATGACGACGTGAAGGTTTTCGATTGTTTGCTCATGAGCAAAACGCATCGCACGAAAGAGAAGAATGCAAAGGACTCGAACACCTACACAATTCAATCAGCGAAAGATTTGACCCGGCCCCACAGGAGAGGGGCCTCGAACACTCCACCCTCAGAAACCGCGCCGACCAATGAATCCTTCTGTACCTGTTTGAGTACCTAGGCTTACTTACATACAGTGGCGGCTACGGTTTAAGAGAGGGTTGGGACAAGCCAGTATTTCTCTCTGAAGTCCGGTTTTCTCTTTTCCGTACTGTGAAATGTGTGTATTTCTTCTCATGGTCGTGACAAGGCAGTTTGACTCTCTTAAATCGGTACTCTCTCTGAAACAGTCCCTCTTAAACCGTAGCCGCCACTGTAAGCCAATAACATGCTCCTCGCGTAACTTGAATGGCACCAAGGTTCTGGTGGCGCTTCACCGAGAGGGTTCTGACTTCGAGCTCAGCAGCCTCGTGCGCTGCGACCCTATGCAATTCACCTACCGGGCAGGTGAGGTGATCAAGAAAAACAACGTTCTAGATCGAACGTCAGTATAAGCAGCAGGTGGACTACACTTCCCTCGATATTCACCACAGTCTCGTAGGGCTGCTGGAATCACGCCCCCCATCATGCACGAAGCACGTTTCTCCGACGTTGGTTAGGATTGTTGTAGATGGTGCTGCTCCTTGGGAATGTCTGGGGTATGGCTCACCTTGTGCGTTAGTCAATTGACTCTGTTCCCTTCCGGGGCGTTTCCACGGCCTACCCCGCCTGCTGGTTTTCTGAACTAATCGTCCGAGGCGTTCGGAGCTCGTGGTGCGTCGCCATTGTTGGGGTTTTGCCATGATCATTCTATCTGCACTCTATATTCAGTGTAAGCCACATGTTTTTCTTGCGTGTGGTTTCGGAAAATCGATTACATTACTTCGTTTGAAGAGAAGGGCACAGAAGATAGCACTACCAGACCACAACAGGATCCAGTGCGCAGACAATGATAGCAATGACGACGGCGGCAATGGCAACGGCAATCGCTTTGACTAGAACTGGGGTTGGGTGAAAATGTCTAACTTGGTGTCAGAGGACTGCTGTGTAGTTTCGGAGTACGAGCGACGCTTCCTAAATAGGATGACGAAACTTTGTGTGCAGACAGTGTGACGCTGTTGAAGTTGATGAAGTAATCGAACTCACGCTAATCGTGGGCGTGTAAAAAGTGCTGCGGAGTACTACTGAGTGGGTAGAACGGCGGATAGCATCTTGGTTTTATTATGAAGACGTCACGCCGATACACATCATACGATATCCTCGTCAGTAAGAAAGCACACGAATAACGCCTCCTTCGTTGGCAGTGACCCAGTCAGAGCTCATGTGGCTCGACAAGGACGATCTGGAAAACATCGCTGCGGAATACAAGACGGCGGAAAACACCATCATAGACAAGGTACACGGTTAGAGAGTGCAAGCCGTTAGCAATGAAACGGAGCAGCAAGAGATCCATATTTTTGAAGCATAACACGTTGACAATACTGTGGTATCAATTACAGGTGCTACAGGGGATTGGCATAAAACCATCAGGCGGCAGATGTTACCACCGAAAGACAGCTTCTTTTTTGTGCTACATTGAAAGTGTCTTTGGAAGGGTGCACCATGCGCTAAAACCAGATTCAGCTTGCAACTTTAGCAAGAACTCCAACACAATGTCTTTGCACTAGGCGCACCCGTCGACCAATCAGACCCCCAACATCGGGCCACTTTCGGCTGGAACCGAACGCAGGCGGAGAGGCAGGGTGCGCTCCTAGAGGAATGCCTTTGTCTAGAGGAAACCTGCGACGGCTCTGACCACCGACAGGCACAGGTGCGTCATGTTTCAATAACGACTGGACAGCATTCGCCGGTGGAGCACTAGGAAGGTATGCTGGAATGGTCTACGAGTAGGACGGAATCGATCTGCTGCATCGAATCAGCCCCATTTTTGCGCATCTCAAATGATACGCAGCCCTGCTTATTTCCCACGTAGGCGAGTCATTGCGCAAGAAGAGTTTTACCGCCATACAACGAAGAATTGTTTGTACTTACACCGGCGGATAGCTTTGAAGTGTCCACGGAGGACTACGTGGCACCAAGAGTCTAGTCCACAATACAAGAAGAAAAAGGTTCTGAAGGTGCCACAAAACAACAACAACAACAACAACAACAACAACATCTTCAAGAGGAATGCTCATGTGTGTCAGGTGCTGGTGGACTGGACTCTTGTTCCGGCAGCGAGCATACCGGAACTCGTGGGGAACGGTCTGACGAGTATCATGCTGGACGCCAATCGGCCGGAAGACGCCGACGACAGCGCCGCACTGATTCGTACCCTTCGACCGATCAAAGAGGTCTGTCTGCCTTTCCCTACCCAATGTCTGACCCTATCTACTACGTAAAAAACCGCAATAAATACAGAATCCTCGACTGGTCAGTCACGTAGAACAAGAACAGCCATCAAAGGTGGCTATGTCAGCACCATAAATGGGTTTCGATCCTGTGGGTTGGGGATTAGGGTGGGTCGGACATATTGATAGGAATCGAATTGTGGGTTGGGTTAGTGTTGGGGTTGATCCTACCTAACCCTAATCCATCATAGCGAGTTTGGTCACACGCGAGCGCACACTCGACTCGAACGTGTATTGACTTGCGGTGCGGTGTGCTTTCTTCCTCGTCTTGTAAACCACAGTTTTCAAGCCACCAAAAACTGCCAGATCTGGGGTGTCCTTGCCATTCATACCATTGTGGCGCGGTAGATAGCGGTTTGGGGGGGGGGTGTACTCATAGTCGTGCATGCCGTAGTCGTTAGACCATTGTAGCGGTTTGGGGGGGGGGGAGTACTCATAGTCGTGCATGCCGTAATCCTTAGACCATTGACCTCCCATCCCTACAAAGCCGGGACGGAGCACGCCGGGTTCTCACCGGACCAGGCTCTCACATCACCAAGCGCGAAGCGCCGTGAGGTATTTGGCGAGTCGCATGAAGGGTGAGCTGCATCCTGCTAAGGGTGTTCGGCATCTTGTGCTTACTTCCTTGCGTACGGATGACAGCTACGTATGACTTAATTTATTTTCTGGTGCTTTCACTTCCAGAGACAGTTGTAAGCACTGTGTAACTGCCTCGAGGATGCTTGACCATTTTAACACAACGTGGTGCGATCATCCCCCGTTGCGCGGAGTGAGGGTTCTCGACCCCGCACAACATGATCTACTCGACCACCATTCATGGTTACCGCAAAAAAAAAACAGAGGCAAAAAAAAAAACGGTAACCTGGTTGCCGGGTTCACGAAGTGACTTGGCTTGTTTTCCAACGTCGTTGCCAAGCGACGAAAACCCAACCCCGATGGCAAAACACCGGGGGGGGTGGATAGCGGTTGGGGGGGGGTTACTCGCCGCCCTTTCCTTTGGTGGTTCTCTTGAGACAAGGAATAAGAAAGAAATAACGCTCACCCTAGACGGGGCTGTGTAAGTGTCTTGTCCAAGTTCTTGCGGTGAAGGTGCAATGACACCGGCCCTTGTCCCCGCAATGTACCACCAGCCAAACAACGACATAAGTCTCCCCATACTCCCCCACGCCGTTTCTGGTCATCCACCATCACCTGCAGAAGGGTGGGCCAAAAGACGGCGCAGGCGGTGGCGGCTTTGCCATAAATCCTCTCCAAACCTTGTCTGCCATGGCCGCGTGGGTCGCGACCGCAGACGGGGGCAAAGGGAAGGGGGGTGGCGGCGATGAGGGCAGCTTCGTCGGGCAAGAATGGGGGGACGAGGGGCTTAAAAAAAGCGGTAGCACCGCCGCGTTGCCGAGGGTGGGCAGCATTGGTCCCTGTCCGGGAAGGGGAGGCGGTGGGTCAGCGGGCGGAGGGGAGGCGGCGAAAAAAAAGCGAAGGTCTCCTGGAGAGGTGGCGGAAGAGGAGGAGCGTAAAGAGAGGACACCCCCCAACATGGTATGTCTGCGCAAAATTTTGTACTAGCTGCCCGCGAGTCTGCGTCGGTATTGTACACTTGCTGAAGTACGTTTCTTGACTGACGCATGCGCGAAACAAATGATAACTGCAGGAGGAAGCCCTGGAGACGGCGGACTGCGTGGCCAGGCGATGGGTCGTTCTTCCAAACGCTGGTTGGAAGCAGAAATGGGACACGTGAGTCTTGGTGCTACACCATATGTAGACACCACCACGACGGCAACGATTGTTGAGGCTGTACTTTGGTTGGTTGGGCGTTGGCTGGAGAAGTTTGGGTAAATGTAAACATGTTGCGATCAGCACGTCAAACCCACTCAAGGCCACCACCGGTCGACGTCAAATATGTCGCCTCTCAAGTGCCTACGGGCGTTCTTCTATCTGGCGGCGCGACAAAGTGGGTAAAATAATAGGAGGGCACCACTAACCGTGTACATGAGCTCGTAATGCCTTTGGCGTCCGTTCGGATTGGACGGCCACCTTCACCCTAACTTCAACGCCACCCTTCTTACCCTCCCGTTGCACCACTCTTATCGTAGGTTTGGAGCATTCCTGATAGCCCTCAGTGTCATCACCGTCCCGTTTCGTATCGGCTTCGACGCCCTCCCGGAGGGGGGCTGGGTGGTGGTGGACTGGGTGACGGACTGCACGTTTGCCGTAGACATCGTCCTAAACTTTAGGATGGCCTACGTGAACGGCCACGTTTTGGTGACATCCCCGAGCCTGATGGCGTCTCACTACCTCCGCGGGTGGTTCACCACGGACCTCTTGTCCACAGTACCGTTCGACAGGCAAGCAAGGCAGAGAAGAGGGAGGGTGGTGTGGAGACCCTTTCTAAGCATAAGTATCCACACATAGTCCTTCATCAAGTCTTTGTTTGTTTGTGGTGTGCATGCATACTTGGGTACGATACCCGATCTGGGAAACATACGTGTGTGGGGGGCATGCTCTTGGGGGTCCAAGTTCGGGAACCCCCGAGAGAGGGAGAGAGAGAGAGAGCACGCACATGTATACGTTCCATTGATGAGAAGCACGTTGTCGATGCATTCGCCAGCTGTGATCTTCGCAACCTAATCCAGAGTACTGCAACCACTGACAGCAACGCTTGTATCCGAGGGGATAGACTACAGTAGTGACGACTGGTGCAATCGTTTTTTAGTATCCCGCCGACGGGGGAAGCCCACACTCGATATGGTCCTCTGGGTGTACCGTACCATATTCCGCACCGCACAGCTCACAAAGTGGCGCTCTTCTCTATTGCTCTCATTCCGTCGTACCGCTGACAATGATTGCGACAGGATTATGTCGCTGGCAGGAGACGAGAACTCGAGGGTGTTTCGATCTCTAAAGCTTGTGAAGGTGGTGCGGATAGTCAGACTGTTGAGGCTGTTCCGACTGTTCAAGATGGCCAGATTCCGGCTAATAACAGAGGAGTTTATGGAGGTAAGACGCTGTCCTTGTTGTCGTAGTCATCGCCGTTGCCACTGCCATTGCCATTGTCGATAGAGGTGAAATGTCATTTTTTTTCCGGGTGTTTTTGGTGGAGGTCTTGCTGCTGCTGCACTCGATGGGGCAGTTTCGGTGGGTGTATGTGTTGTGCCCTCTAAAGTAAGTTTTGGACTGATTTCGCTTTGGCATCGATGGAGTGATACGTAATACGAAGTACCGCAGGAGGGGAGGGTAGAGAGAGGCTCTTCTGTGTGACCACGGGTTGGAATAAACGGCACTAGTGCTGTGAGCGCTGATTTGAAGTGAAGAACAAAAAAAAAATAATAATAATACTGTAGTGTACCGAAAAGGAACGACAGCTTGAAAGGCTCGACGATTCTAGGCTCCTGGCGCTCCTCAAAGGGATCTGCTGTCGCTCTTGTCCGAGAGAATTAAACGTTGTCTGGTCCTGATACTAGGATAATTCTGGGACAGGGGATTACCGGGTAATGTGATAAATTGCCGTGTACGAACCCTCCTTTGGTCGGCTTTCATGGGACCTTTAGGATGGGAGGGCACTAAGTAAACGGCGAAGGCTTCTTCCAACATCCGCCCTGATTGACGTGTCTGCAAGAATGCACTCTCCAGTCCTTTGCCGGGGCCTCACGAAGCCTTCGTTCCTTGGAAAGGTCTTGGTTGATTGCAGGATCGTTGATGGACGCTTTTCGTTGCTGCTATCCGGACACAAACCAGTTGAACGATGTCCTATTCCGAGGCCTCAAGCTGGTGCTGACGCTGGCCCTTCTGGGACACTCTTTTGGCTGCTTCTGGAGTTTCGTGAGCCTGTCCGAAGAGGCTAGCGATGACGACATAGACGGTGCGGCGCCCTCGACATGGTGGGAGAGTATAGGGTTGCAGCCGGAAAACCTGACGGGCCGGTACATCGCCTCAATTTACTGGGCTTTCACCACGATGACCACCGTAGGGTGAGTTATTGCGCTGGGGTAGGGGACGGGTTATGCTGCTCAGAACCGACAGAACGTGCTGTCAGCGCAATTCACGATGAAGCCTGCTGTTCAGAGAGCACACTACTGTAGCGGGCGGTTCCCAATCGTACCTAACTTTGAGATGCGTCGACCCAACGCAGAAGAACGTGCCAAACTGGTACATGAACATGCTTCGGTTGTAAATGCCTCGATTCTTGCGGCACGTAGACTATACGATGGGCTCGGCCATCGGCGCAGCCTGCATTTCGACTGCAAAAACACGAATGGCATTGCCAGAATTACCATACCTGTGTGACCAACACCAAGCGCCTTCGTCAACCAAGGGAGAGATCGTTGCCGCTACAGTATTGGTCATGAGCGCCCAGCAAGAAAAGCGAGGTGTATGCGTAGGTGGAACAATCACTGCCTTGAACAGGGTACAAGATACTGGTATCGACCTCACTCTCCAGAAGAATGCACCATTGAGATCGATACAACAACATGACAAATTAGGTACGGAGACATCCTTCCCGTCGTAGACCAAGAGCGTGCCTACGCGACCATCATTATGGTCATCGGGGCTACCGTCTTCGGGTATATCGTCGGCAGCGTCAGCGCGCTGGCCAGCAACCCCAATGGCAGCCAGGCGAGGGAAACGGTCAAAATCCTGGCCGTCTCCAACTACCTGGGCGAGAAAAAGGTTCAGCAAAAGCTCAGACAGGCAAGACCAGGCACCTTCCTTCGCAACCTATTTAGGCGCCCGAAACTTTGCATCGAAGTGCGTTGCTCGCCGTTTGTTGCACGGCAGGTACCGGACGTTTCTTGTACAACATACTCGCTGGAGAGAGCATGACCTTTTTGATGTCATACATTTCACGGTCAACGAAAAAAAGCCTGTATCTACCAGACACGTTTGGATGGAACCGTTGTTAAATAGGGTCTTGCTGCATTGCTATTGTTGTCTTCACATTTAAAACCGTTCCGGTCTCCGCTCAGTACCTTCACGCAACATGTAAACACGAAAAATGCGCAGGCGGTAAAGAAGCACGTGGAGTTCTATCTTCAGCACAAAACCCCTTTTCACGAAGAAGACCTACACGCGCTCATGCCCCCGAGCCTGCGACAGGAATCCGTGCTCCAGGTCCACAAGGTGAAAGAAAGCGATTATGTAGATAGAAAATTGCGCAACGACTGGATTTATTTACAGGAAGTCCCTTGACATGTTTTCGCGATGACGCGATTGTTGTCCCCAGGGCGAGATGCGCTGCATTTGTGGAGATAGCCCGCAGGAGGTGTGCATGTATTCCTACCCCTAGGTCCTCAAAATTGACGTACAGCACCCCCGCACGGTAACAACGCGATTAGCAACATGACATCGTCCCACGCTATCTCAACGTGTGAAATCTGTGTCACACGCGCGTTGTTCCATGTGCTTTCATTTAGCACCCACTGCTCTCGAGTACATACAGCTCTATTTTCCCACAGTCAGACCGCAGTGCGCATTTCTTGGGTAAACGGCGGTGGGATGGGGTTGTTTGTCCGTGGGTTCAGCACGATGGACGTGGTATGGAGTGTGCCCACTTGCGTTCTGGTCTGCAAAACAGGAGTTGTTTAGGGCTGTCACTTGCTCTCTTCATGTACTTACAACTAAGCATCATCATTGTGTTAGAACTTCTCTGTGTGGAACTTTTCTGTGTTTGTTGTTGGACAGCCTCCGCGCCATTCGTTTCAGAGCTACCCCCGTCGGATCTGATTCAAGATACTAGCTCCGATACTGGGCTGGTCGCACAACAAGTGAAGAGCTCCTCCCCCGCCTCAAAACCAACACGCCGTCCATTCTTGACACAAACTCAAATTGATTCGTCTGAAGGCTGATGAGGGTCGAGGAGAATATAGTAGTTTTCTGTTTTGTGTGGGAACAGTGCTCCGTCACGAGGACGCGTGGTCAACGGTGTATATGCAAAACATGAGACGCCCCCCCCCTCTCGCCCCGCGTAACACGCCACCACTTTGCGCGTCAACGGTGGTCCGTGTCTGCACCGCCGAACGGCAGGATGTTTTGCGCAAAATCGGTATCTTCAAGCACATGAACGCAAACCACACCGCGTACATCCTGCGGCACATGACGCCCCTCTTCACCCTCGCCGGGAATTACGTCTACAAACCGGCCGACGAGAGCGACGGAGTGTACTTCCTGCTGACAGGGACTGCAGAGGTAAAAAACGGTTCACCCGAACGTGAAAAGCAATGCCTTATTTCTTATTTCCGGAATGACCCATTAATCTGCAACGAAACACGACCTCAAAAATCGGACCCTGGCTAACCTACCTCCAAGGTTTCACGCACTCCCCCACCCACCGCACACCCAAAATCACGCAAAAAAATACGCAGGCGTTCCTCCAAGACGAAACTGGGAGTCAAGTGAGCCTCTACACCGTGCAACAGGGAAAGTTTTTCGGGCATGAGTATTTCTTGCAAGCACAAAACAACACCAACAACCGCGATAACTGCGGCAATCGCGGTAATCGCGGTAACCGCGGTAGCATCGGCAACAGCGGCAGCGGCAGCGGCAGTGGCAGCGGCAGCGGGCGTGTCGGGTCAGATGAGGGAGACCGAGAGAGGATGGGGGTGCGCGCCCTCGTGGACTGCTCCATGTACCTCCTATCGGAGAACACCATACTGCATTTGGTGAGACAGGCCGACCAACGGCCGGCGAATGATGCGTTAACATGTGACGAAATTTGGTCCGGATCTTTCTTAGAAAATGCGCATATCATCAGAGAAAGACGTGCAAGCTCGAGACAATAGCTTGTTCGAATGAATGTGTTGAAGTCTGTACAGTGGGTATTGAGAAATCCTGCCGGATTTTTTGCCATGAAATATGTAGTACATACCCAGTCCTGTCTGCGCGGGGAAGAGATGGGTTTCCGCAATCGGTCACAACTCCAGTACCCAGCTTGACATCAGTACAGCGTTTGGTGATTGGGCGTTTCATAGAAAATATTGCTGAGAAAAGCTGGGGGGCTGCTCGAGTCCTTCCTCTCCGTAGAGTGAGACATCTAACTCTGTTCCTACTCGCGCTCTAAGCTAAAAGGTCGTTTCAACACATCGCCCAACTACTTCCAACTTTCTCATTTCGGAGTGATTCCGGAGTGGTGACTGTAAAAATACACGACTTGAATATTTTTCAAGAAATTTCGAAAGATTCGAACAGAGGCCAGACCCCGAAGAACGTTTTTTCAGGAAGTTGTTTCATTTTTCGAAGGGTTGGGCCTGTGGAACGACCCCAGCCAGCAGAACGACACCTTCCTTCGACCCTGAAGCGAATCGCACAACATGCTCCTCTTGCGCTTACCTGCCGCCCAATGCTCTACACAACAACAACAACAACAGGCAGACACCCAGCCAGACTTAGCGACACACCTGCAGCGAGCCCTGCGCAGGGCCATCGTGAACCAGAACCTCGACGCTCCCATCGACAGCAACGAGAGGAGCGCCGGGGTGCCAGCCTCGTGTTCAAACCACAGCGCCACGCCGAACGGGAGCGTGTACCCCGCCCAGAAATCAGGCCGACAAAGAGGCCTGAGCGATCAGCAACACCACCACGACGTCGGAGCGATGGAATCGGGCGGGGCCGGAGGCGTGTCGAGGGTGCAGGCGTGGACGGGCGGAGGCGGGGGTGACGGTGGTGGCGGCTCCAAGGTTGTCCCCGCGGGGTGATCGAGTTTTCAAAAGAAAGTCGGAACACAAGAGGTCTCTCCGCATTGGTCGCACTGGTCAGGGTTGGGATCTACAGCAGTATCTTTCTTTGGCGAATTGGCCTTGAGAGGATGAAAGACGTCGCACTTTGGAGAAGAATTTATCACCGGCGCTTCGGTACTCATCGCGTTCGACTGGACTTCCTATTCTCTCAAACTTCCCGATTTGAAAAACCTTTTTCGCGCTAAGGCCGCTCTAAGACCGCCATATAGGGCAACAGGTATCCCCCGGACAGGGCAGTAAAACAAAATCGAGACGAACTCGAACTGTTTTCTCGGTAGACAGTTTGATGAAGTAAAGTGACCAGAAGATGTTCATTCTCGGTGGTTGGAAACAATGCCTTCTACAACCTCGTTGATAAAGCACGCCGTGCCTCGAAGTTGGCGCCAACCTGAAAGTACTTTCTACGGTTGGCTCACTAGTCTAGCCGTACAGCCGCCACACTGACTGCCGGCAACGGGGGAAAGCTACATAAGCATTGAAAACTTTCATGCTACACTACGTTGCTGTTGTACACGTTTCGGCGACGTGACGGCGTCGAGATACCAACCCAAACCCTGAGGCATACCTCTGTGCCCCTCCAGACTAAGCGGGGCAGACGTCGCGCCTCTTTCTCTTGTTTGCACTTTGCAAGTCTTCGTTGATACACATACGCAGTCCCGTCGAAGAATCAGCGTCTGATAGGGATAGACTTGAATCTCAAAGAACGTGGTGGCGCCGGCAACAACACTGTCGGGATTGTTTTGTCGCGCCACTCCGGACTTGCCACCCAGCTGGGTCGTGACATGCGCTGCCCTCCCACCCGCTTGCCGAACTCTTGTTGGCCACATGAAGGTCGGCGCCGTCGCCTTTGACTTGCGGTGGCGGGAAGCAACCCATCTCCATGTCCCTCCACCAAGCCCCTGTGCCAGCGGATGCCCGCCGCCCGTGAGCATTCTGCTCGCCAGGGTGCCATCCGGCATCTTTATCGACTTCTCCGACACCCGCCCCCGCCGCCGGCAGCCGGCCCCTCGGCAAACCCTGTAGACTACAGGATGGAGAGAGTTACATCCATGGGATCCGGGGGGCTACCCCGATCGCCGTCGGTCGTGGTACTTACCCAGCCATCTCATGCTTCGCCGGACTAACGGGAACGCCACACACCGGCGCTACCCCTCTCTGTGCTAGCCTTGATCCAAGCACTACATAACATTGTTGTACCAGGACCTTTCCAAGGTATCCACAAGGAACTCTGGCACTCCATGAGGTCTCACATGGATACAGCCCTGGGTTCTGGCTAGCTTACGCGGATGGGCCTCACGCTCTAACCCTAAAATTGAGTAAGACATCACGATGCAATTCCTTTCCTTCAGCACAGAGTTACTCCACTCACACATGGTAATGCTTCAGGGTAAGGGTACCGGAGCTGGTCGTTTCATCTGCCCCCAGCGTGGAACACGTTGGTTCGTGAGCTTCTCCTGTGCGGCCTCGCCTACTTGGTAGCTTGGCGCTAAAAGTAACACCCGCAAGCATACACCAACGCATTATATATTTCTCGTCATTTTCTTCAACAACAAGCACCGGTGTCCTCAGTAAAGTTAACGCGCGGTGTTTTTTCGTTTGAAGCCATCGTCTTCCCCTCGCGCCACGTACGAAACTCGTGACATACCCAGTCGTCCGTCTCACCGCTGGTGACCGGGAAGAAATATACAGCCGTACCTGCAACAATTTCGTTGTTGTATGTGTTTCGACCGCCTGTACAGCAATCGGGGTTACGGCTCAGACAATGCTGGCGTTCAAGGTAAGAGGTTTTGTTTTTCGTCTGAAGAATCCTCACCTTGTCCCTTTCGGCCGGCGCTCGCTGTCGACATGCGGCAAGACCCCTCCCTGTCTGGAGACTATGTAGACTATGCACTATGCATGGCGTTGTTTGCCTGAGCATCAAACTTTCGCGCCATGGTGTCTTCGACCGCGAAGACTACAGCACAGTAGATGGGAAGAGAGCACATTGGGGGGCGGAAGTTATGCTCTAGGAGGTAAAACGGTAGAACGAAAAGGTACAGCAGTATCATGTGCGATGAAGCCCAATGCCAAGCACCCTCTCGAAGTTGCGTGATGCAACAAACTATCGCCCCTTCAACACGCCAAGAACCCACGAACAAGAGAACCACGACAGGATTGAATTGCACTATGACACTACTCTTTGGACAGTAGTGGTTGGTTATAGCTGCAGAGCACGTGCCATGCGGAGCCGTGAGCGGCAGTTTCTCCTGACTGCTTCATTCTGACGTAAATGGGAGCGGAAAGCGCATCCATGGGGAAGGTGTGCAGCGGGCATTTCGGGTAGCGTTTTTCTGTGTATTTTTATTTTCCATAGACTATGCATACAACGGAGACACGAACTTCCTTCTCCTGTAAACCGTTCCTACGGCGCCTAGACTAGACGAAGTTACAGAGTAGTGTTGTAGATATGTGTTGCACAACACTACTACTTGCTGCTGTGTAGCCTCGTGGGACTCATTGACGCCGGTTTGCGGAACGTACAGCAGCCGAACGTATGCATATGGATCGCTGTAAGCACAGCCTCCGATACCACCCTCGCGTTTGAGCTCAATGAGATGAAGTGTGTCCTAGCTCCCGTCGTGCTTGTGTGTCGCCTAGACGGACTACCAAGAAGTCGCTAAAACTTCGCGGATCCGGTGCATGATCCACTCTTGCATAAAACCATGTGATGCCAGTCCAAGAAAAGGGGTACCACTAAATTCTGCGCTCTGTGTGCCCCCTCGTTAACCTGTTGACCTGTTGACCTGTGCTTCGTTTGTCGCACTCGCAGGCCAAGGCACAAGCAAGCAGTCTTGGGCCAGGATGGCTAGCTTCGCGTCGCAGTCCGGACATGGCTTCTTCGACAAGATCGCAAGCCGCGTGGAGGAGGTGGACTCCCTGCTTATGGTCGGTCTGGATCCCCATGCCGCGGAGCTAGGTGAGGGCAACAACCACGCCGCGGGGGCCAAGGCTTTCTGCCTCAGGATCATCGCGTCCACCTCGACGGTTGCAGTGGGCTACAAGCCAAACGCTGCCTTTTTCGAAGCCTTTGGGGTGAGTGAGCGATAGGAAGCAGAAATCTAGCCAGGGCTGTATCGACACCAAACACTTGTTTTATTTGGGTGTGCGAAAAGGGGGCGCGTGTAGGTATATAGTGCCGTGTGCCGTGTGCGCGGCAGTACTTCCATGTTTTTCGTGCCCCGTCCGCACTTCGACGTGGGGATACACCTCGCCAGCAGGGGGGCGACAGCATGCGTGCACAGCCGGCTCGCCTCTCCTTGTCTCTCTCGCTTTTGCTATCTCCCTTACTCTCTGGTGTGTAGATCTGTGGAAGACGAAGCTTGCTGCACAACGTAAGTGACGCCAACTTGCGGGTGTGCAGACACACTCTCGAACACTTGTAACATGACGGGCGTGACGAACATGAGCGAGTATCTGTAAGCAGAAGCATCCGGCGACGTGCATGCTTATCTACAGCGTATGTGGTGCCTGGGGTGGCTTGCATGCATGCAAATACTGTACTGCTGTATGCATAGTATGTCTCTAGACATCTACATACGAACATACGATGTATGTATGTATTCAAATGAACATACATGCCGTGGGCGGACCGGTAAGCAAGTAAGGTAGTCTCTAGTCTACGCCGTAGACACAGCAGTAGTGGCCACTGAGGACATGAATTTGCATAGAAGTACATGCGAGAGCGCAAGTGCGGTAAACAGTCGTTGTTCTTGAAGCGAGATGGCCTCGTGCTATCTGTGACAAGACCTTCCCCACACACCGTAAGTACCTCACACAACGCATCCCTTCCACTGGGGGGTACAGTATACTATCGTCTCGGGCGGTTACTGCTGTATATGAGTCTTGTTGCAGTGATGCTGTGTTGTACTCACCTTGGGGGCATACTTCTCAGAGGCGCAGGCCTATCCACGGACCGCGCGCCGAACATCGGACGAGGACAAGCCGAGGAAGCGAGAGGACTGCTTCCACTGGCTCAACGTCTCCCACAGATGGCGTGGGTTCTCGTGGAGCCGGTCCCAGCAGTCCTTTCGCTCGCTCGGCGTGTCCTTGGCAGATGTTCCGCGCGTGGTCGGTGGATAGGCCCGCGCCTCTTGAGAGATGTGTGTCTTCCCCCGCCGTGATGGTACTAGTTTTTAAGACTGCGGAATGTCGACAAGACCTCACTGAACGTATGCCCACATCCACTAAATTACCTGGTACAGTAGCAATTTAACGAGGAATCACAGCTCCGGAAGCAGCCTGTTCCGGAACCCACAAGCGGGTTCGCTTGACCGGCGGCTAGCGGTAGCTGTACACAACATTTCGATATGGCAAGCGGCTACAAGCCCGTCGCCCTTGCTTTTTCGAAATAGATTAAACACGCCCGTGGTAAGTCTACTGCATGCTGTCTTGTAGAAGAACCAGCAACAACTATATTATTTCCTCACAGCTGTGCACATAATTACTGAAGAGTCTGTGACGTAGCTACTGTACGGACGAAGTGTGTGACGGCCAGTTCTGGGCCGCAGCCCTGTCGTTGCTTGATAACGGTGTCTTCGTCAGACTTGACTGGTGTTGACGTCATGTTTGTAGCATGCTTGACGCCCACGTGCGCGTTGGGATATGCGTAGGCTCATGTACATTGTTTCTGAATTGTGCGATAGATGGAATGAAGGCGTCACGGCGTCGAAGGCGGCGACGTATCATCTTGTTGGCCTCATGGCGCATGTTGCATCCTGCCACCGCGCTTCGTACGAGACGGTCCCTGCCCTTACCAAGGCCGGTACCGCTGCTGCCGCTGCTGCTGCTGTGCTTACGGTTGTGCCGCCGCTCAACCGTGAAAATATGCCATGCATACGTAATGCTGTGTACAGATTTGTTAGTTTTTATGTTTTGGGTCGTTGAGGCTGGCTAGGCTGGTTGGAGTCAAAAATCCGTCAGCAGTGTGAGCGCTTGATTGGGATTCGTCACACCGCAGCTGGCAGCCAGCGGTAGGTTGGTCCTTCTGCCTGCTTCAGATTTTCATCTTGCATCACCCCTTCTGCTCTCATGAGCCCACTCCGGAGGAATCACTTGCGTGGCTCTTATGCATGTTCCCGTCGTTTGGTTAAAATTGCATCAGGCGGAAGGCGTGGCCGCTTTGAAGGAGGTTATCGCTGCCGTGCCGGAGGGCATCCCGGTCCTGCTCGACGCCAAGAGGGGGGACATCGGGACGACGGCCGCCGCGTACGCCTCTGGTACCTTCGAGGTGGGATCTCGCACAAGGGCATTCCGGATGTTGGCAGCCCTCCTGAAAGTTTACTACTTCAAAAATATCCCGGGGGTGGCCCCGTCCTCATTTCAAGTCTATTTTAGTTTGTCTAGGCAGAGGGAGCAATAGGCTAGAGTGAGTCCTTAGGTGACGTAAGATACCACACCCACGGAAGATAAAAATTCCACATACGTACGTAACGAAAACGTCTCCTGAAAGGTTCATTCATGCATCCGATGTATGCATCCGATGACATAAAGAATATGTACCCATTCGAGATATAAAACCATAGCAGTAGTCGCAGGGAAGAGGATGGGTTGAAGTCTTTACATACAGTGAGTGGGAGAACACAGAAAAACGGCTGGATGCTGGGCTTATTTAGGGCCTATTTAAGCCTACATATATACACTCGAGGTATTACCACCGTCGAAGGGGATGTGTTGAAGTCTTGACAGTGAGTGGGAGGAAAAAACCGGCTGGAAGGAAAGTTATTGCGGAGAAGGAGGGCTCGTTGTTTCATGGTGCAGCGAAGGAAAGATAGCTCGCACTTCCGCTGTTGAGAAGCTGTCTCGACTCGAAAGGACCCCAGTAATCAGGTCAACCTGATAATTAGTATCATTTTCTCGTCCCATGTGGTGCTTTTCTCTGTCTTTTTTGAATCGCTGCTTTTGGTGCCGGGGAAAGATTTCTTTCACGCCTCTCTTCCCCCCCTCCCCCTCCGATTAACGAAGGAACAATGATCGGTCCTGTGGGAACAATGCTCCGTCCTCCTGTCGAGGACTCGTGGCCAATGGTCTAACCGCTAAGGCATGCAAACCATGAGAGTACGCCCCCCCCCCCCGTCCGATTGTTGGTGCAGGAGCTCGGTGCCCACGCCATTACATTGAACGCGTACATGGGCGTGGACACCGTCGACCCTTTCCTCAAGGATCCCGCCAGGGGGGTGTTCGTGCTGTGCAAGGTGGGATGACGTACGTGATGGCGTCAGACATGACGTACGTGATGACGTGCGTGATGAAGCCATGGTGTATATTGTTGAACGCGTACATGGGCGTGGATACTGCCGACCCTTTCCTCAAGGATCCCACCAGGGGGGGTGTTCGTGCTGTTCAAGGTGGGATGACGTACGTACGTGATGACGTCAGGCATGACGTCATGGGATTTTTGTTCGTTTTCTTTTGTACAAATAGCACAACAAATCCATCTCTTTCACAGATAAGTCAGTCCTATTGTTCCTCGGTTAATGTCGGTCCTTTGATGCAAGGCTACGTCATCATGCATGGTTGGATTGCTCAATTTCGTGTGGGAGTTTCAGAGCCATGCACCTGCCTGTAGTGGCTGCCGCTCTGCGCTTGCCTGTCTTGTGCGGACCACACTAATTTGCCCGGGGGGGGGGGGGGGGTACTCATAGTCGTGCATGCCGTAGTCGTTTGACCATTGACCTCGCATCCCTACAAAGCCGGGACGGAGCACGCCGGGTTCTCACCGGACCAGGCTCTCACATCACCAAGCGCGAAGCGCCGTGAGGTATTTGGCGAGTCGCATGAAGGGTGAGCTGCATCCTGCTATGGGTGTTCGGCATCTTGTGCTTACTTCCTTGCGTACGGATGACAGCTACATATGACTTAATTTATTTTCTGGTGCTTTCACTTCCAGAGACAGTTGTAAGCACTGTGTAACTGCCTCGAGGATGCTTGACCATTTTAACACAACGTGGTGCGATCATCCCCCGTTGCGCGGAGTGAGGGTTCTCGACCCCGCACAACATGATCTACTCGACCACCATTATGGTTACCGCCAAAAAAAAAACGAGGTAAAAAAAAAAAATGGTAACCTGGTTGCCGAGTTCACGAAGTGAATTGGCTTGTTTTCCAACGTCGTTGCCAAGCGACGAAAACCCAATCCCGATGGCAAACACCGAGTGGGGGGCTTGTTTTACAACGTCGTTGCCAAGCGACGAAAACCCAAACCCCGATGGCCAACACCGGGGGGGGCGGCTTGTTTTACAACGTCGCTGCCAAGCGACGAAAACCCAACCCCGATGGCAAACACCGGGGGGGGGTAGGGGGGGGGGGGGGGGGGTTTTTTTCTCACTCCAAAAATTCCCCCCCCACGCGGGGGGGA